AGAGGTATAAATATAAGGCCTACTCTGCCTGGGACTGTCTCTTCAGACTTGGTCTCTTAGGATCATCCACAGGTACCTATACTGTAGATAGGTCTTAGTCATCAGGTTTACTCCACTTCCTTGTTGCCTGCTTAGACTCTTGGCACTCTTAGGTGAGCAGACTTAGTCAGCCTGTGTTGCCCTAACAGCAGCGATATCTTCTGCCCAAGTATCATCTCCATCCATTTGAACCAAGTCAATTATGCCCTGATTGACAAGTGGATACAGCTCTGGCATAAGACAGAGAGCAGATTTTGCCACTTCCTGTTCAAATTGTAAGCATATAGCAATCTTGATTTTCAAAGTGGATACTTACCTGGAGTGAAAAAACCTCCTCTAACTCTTGTCAATTCCAGTCCACTTTACTCTGTGCACATGTATGTTTAAGCTCCATAAATTCTGACTTGAGATGATACATGCTGAACAGTCTCTGGTTGTCTGAGTACATAGTAACAATACAGAAGGTAGGGATACCCACACTACAATACACCATCTGAGGTGACAGATCCAGATATTGAATCTGATGGAATCCCCTTGCTTCAACTTGCCCATTGGCCATCAGCCCCACCCCCACCCCCAATACACTCATGCTCTATAATTGTCCACTATTCTTTCTCAACCTGTTCTCACAATCTGGAAGGATCCAAATCAAGTGAGCTGGATCAACAGTGTAAAGCAGATGTGCATCTGACATTCACATAACAGGTTAGCTCAGTGATATGTCACCCAAGCCATATACAATATTGATGTCTCCATCCGACAAATTCAAAAAGGCAATGGGAGAGGATTGGGTAAAGGAAGCTGGCCACAGAATTGATTACAAGATCACAGGAGACAAAACAGGGAAGAAAGAGATAATTGTGGCAGCACAAGCAGTGAGTGTTAGACATAGCACATATTAAACATACATATGGAATGACTAGATGTTCAAAATCAGGCAAAAACTGCTAGCCAAAGTCAAGCAGATTGGCATCCAAGAAATGGAAGACGATGTATATGTGTTTCCACTTCAAATCCACTATGTCAAGCATGCAAACAGGAAGAATTCCATTCCCTATATTCCCCTAATCAAAAGGATGGAACCTGATGAGAGCATTGCACCAAGGGCTGCAGGTAGACAGGTAGATCTCATGATGACTCACATTACTGATATGCTTGACAGACTGTAATTTATGTGAATGAATCCCTGCACTGACACAAAAGGTTCAGGAAACATTTACAGAATATGGAAGGAACTGGATTCCGAGTGCAGATGTGATTCATGACAAGGCAGTAAAGCAATTGAGCCACACACTGCATATGGGAGTGTGGATATCTAAAATAGACTGGGAACACCTGAGGATGGATGACTAAGATGAAGCAGAAATATGTCAGGAAGGATCAGAAAGGCATAACAGATATGTAATAAGTTGGTTGAACCCAGAGACTTAGGACATATAATGGGATAGGAAGTGCAAATTAACATGGTTGATGGTATAAAGAAAATGTGTAGCATGAGAGGTAATGAGTAAAGACAGTGTCCAAAGTTACATAGTTGAAGAACATAATCAAGAAACTTATACACACACAAGAATGGGTTGAACCAGGCCTGCACATACTGGTAGAAATGTACACAGAAGAACTACTTCCTATGAGGTGAGATGACTGGTCCTTTCATAAGGTCTCGGTTCTTGATGGGAGAAGAACTCGTGATAACAGGCTCCAAAATGACAATCAGATTGACTGGTTCAAGTGCCACCACAGTCTGTTGTTTGTCCTGGAAATGATAAACCCTTGCTATGAACTTTCCCTTGACTACAGCCCCCTTCAATGAATTGGACCACTGGGTAGGAGGTATGAGCTTGCCAGTCTTGCTCCAAGCAGGAAGCAGAATGGGATGGTGAGTATCCTTCATGTTGTGAAAATGCCAATCTGCAGGCAGATGAACAACCCAGCCATGCCAATGAGCCTCCAAGTCAACATCCTCTATGAACAAATAAGTCAACACCATACAAAACAGTATGAACAATGTTCACCTAGAGGACGAGCAGACTTTCCAGTCATAAATGATGCATTGGTATTAGTGGGTACCTTCTGTGCAAACACACAGATCAAATAAGCTACATATCCAGTGAAGTACATACCTCAAACAATGACCAAGAAAAGTGTAAACCAGCTTGCTTATGAGCCAAGAGCAATTCATAATTTTGCTTACAAGCCTTTTGCTCTAGCACTTCAAAGTTCTTCATTGCAACATCCCAATTGGTACCAAAAGGCTCCTTGACTGGACTGACAAGGTATGCAGAAGCTTTGTGTTTTTGAAGCAAAGGCGATTTAGAATTCCCGGGTTCCCAACCACCATCTGGTGTCAATGTGAACCAAGACATGGAAACCATCCCAATCACAGTGAGGTGAGCAACGTCATCAGCATCACACAGACAAGCACCCTAACCCTCAACAGTCCTCCATTCAAGCACGGAAAGATCCTCTTCCTTGGCAAGACTGTAACCAGTGTCTAGCCAAGCTCAAAGTGAATCAATGATGGAACAACCATGGGGAGGAGTCATAGGATGAACAACCTCAGATGAAGCTTTGTTGGCAGCAGTATCACAACCAATAGAGATGGACACCAAGGACAAGGTAGTTGGCAAAGGAGGAAGAGCATTAGCCTTCGTCTCATCACCTTCAGTACTGACTTTGGTCGATGAATCTTCTTGGGTGGGAACATTGGAATCAATATAATTGTAAACAGCATCATGCTGTTGGGAGGGGGGGGCAAAGTCAATTCCGCAGAGATGGGCCAATTGACGCAAGGTTTTCTTCCACCACCAGCCATAGACTGCAAAGGAACAAAGCAGAGAAGAAGATCCAGAGGATATTGATGGATTGAAACAAGCAGGTTGGATGCTGAGCAACCTTGCCAAAGGTCAGGGCATAAATAGGAAACACCACAGTACATGCACAAGACAGAGCATCAAAGGAAAAGAAGACAGAAGAGACAAGAAACATGTCAAGCTAGGATGCATCAAAAGAACCAGCAAGAATGTTCTATTTGGAAGGAACATATGTGCTGGTATGCATATCCCTCATTCTCGATGAATGCAATTGTAAACACTAGGTAATCATATACATAGTGAAGTACCAAATAATATGACCTTTGGCCAAAACAAAAGTTACTCAATCCCTTCTACAGGTATTCATGAGGATGGGATATGGCAATGAAAGAAGATCAGGAATAAAATTGACATGCATACCAGCAACCTCAGAGATGGATGACTGGTCTCCAATTGTGCAATGGAAGGAGATCATGTATGGCTCTGTCGCCGATGTAAGGAAGACCTTATTGCTCATTGGCAACCTGCATGGTCACTGTTAAATAACATGTGGATGGGCAATCCACCATTCGAATTACAAGTCCTCACTATTTTGGAAACAATGCTGATATCTCACCACTACCTGAAAGTATTTCAGTATACACTCTTCCCAAAATGTAAATGCCAAATGAGTCTGGTCAATTCTGACAGCCTCAGAAAAGGAATGTGAGGCAATGTGATGCTGTACTCTATAAGCCAAGATGAAATCACAGGGATGTTAGAGGGAAAGTTATTCCCCTGACAATTGAGACTTCTCTCATCTGTTATTGCAATATTGTTCATCAGATTGATGAAACTGGAAGATGTCAAAAAATTTGGCTCAAGAAAACCTTTGCAGTATGAAGAGATGTTGTCTTGTGTGCCCTCATTTGGTTACAACAACACAACCATTTTCATCAAGACATCGAACTTGATACCATGATTGCCCGTGCAAGAATAGAAGATCTTCCAGAGGATGCAGTGCCACAAGAGATACTTGGAGTGGTGAGAGAGGATCATAACACATTGGGAGTAGATTGGGAGAACAATGTCTACAATGCAGAGAGGAAAGGAGAGGAGATAGGTAAGATACACTAGTCAGAGTGAATATGCAGCATTCTTATTAGGATACAGATGGAGAGGAGGAAGATCCTTCAGTGGTTCCCCTTCAATCACTAGGAGTGGAAGACACCGATCTAACCAAATCAACAGCCAAAGAGGTTCTTCTGCATGTGCTGTCCAATATGACCAACAAAGATAAGGAAGGTGCATATGCCATGAGACATAGTTGACTGCCCATGAATGACTTTGTATCACCACAAACTTCAAGAGAAAACCCTCAAATTGGGAGAAATCCACTTGCTGCAGCCTTCAAAACATTATTTCCTTATGGAGAAGGAGGACCTGAAGACCACTGACCAACCAAAGTATCTTTTACGGAGCATGAAAGGTGGGCCTTACGATATTATGATAGATGGTTCAGAAAGAACAACACTTGGATATTTGTGGTGTTTGGAATCATCCAGAAATGTGAAGTGCTCACCTCTGCCTGGATCCAGATGAAGCAAGCAGATTTCCTGAAAGCCTCTCCTATTCTTTCCACAGTAACCATCAAATGACTCTGGAAGAGGAGGAATCAACAGGTAGAATGAGTGATCCAGCGGTCAATGTACTCAGATCACAACTCTGAGCTCTTGCAGGATGTGTGATGGGATCCGACTACTCTTGCATAGCAATGAGAAGCCAGATATGGGGAACAGCTGTATACATAGCACCTCCAAATCTGTGGTTTACAATAATGCCCAATGATCTGCACAATCCTCTTGCACAAGTTTTTGCCGGGGAGGACATTGACATGGACCACTTCATGACCACCATAGGGCCCAGCTCATTGAAATGAGCACAGAACATTGTGCAAGATCCTTATGCAGCAGCAGAATTCTTCCAATATATTATTGGATCAATGCTGTGATGCCTCTTCCATATCGATTGAGTAGGAGGTACAGGTGTGTGCATCACCAGCCAAGGAGGAAGATTTCTGGCATGCAAAACGGGACACCAAATTGAGTGATCTGCTGGAATTTTGGGTGAAGTAATGGCCTATTTTGGAGCAGTCAAAACACAAGGCAAAGGGATGCTACATTGCCATTTTTTGATCTGGTTATCAAATGTGCCAAGTGCAGTCTTGACAAGAGAACTTCTCCCAGATGGACTTTTTTGTGAGAGAGTGGCACAATACCTTTGGCAAATGGTGAGAGGACACCTGCCCAGACTGGAGCCAGAAAACATCATGACAATCAAGAAACAAAACAATATAGCATACTCTAGTCCAATCGGTCATGATTCATTGTCATCCAAGGAAGCAGCAGAAGAGCAAGAACTCCTTATAGCAAGGAATTACCAGCTCCATACTTGTAACATTGATATGTGTTTACATCCTGACAAGCACAGAAACCTGAAGTGTAAACAGAGGGTGACATTCCCTATATCTACAACAGAGTGTATTACTGAGACCGGAACATGGGGTATACTCCGGAGAAACAGTTATCTGAATAACTGGAATCCATCTGTTGCCAGAATGATGAGATGCAATCACAATATAAAACTCCAGACCAACGGGCACAAAACAAAAGACACAATGTGGTACTGCACCTGTTATGCTCTCAAGAAGCAAAGAAAGTCATACAAAGCAACTGGTATTCTCGCACAATGGATGGTGTATCACTTTGCAGACAAATGAACAATGACTGATATACACCGATGAAACCATTTGATGATATATTGATGCTTCAATGTACTCAACTGAGAACAGGAAAAAGCAGCCAGCCAATGCATATCCTACATTATGGGATGGGGCAACATATGGCAATCCCATAATTACGTCAAATTACATCTCAATATGATCAGATGGGAACTTCTTAATATGTATCCAGAACTCCTAAATCACAGGTATGTCTAAGTGAATTTGATGTCAATCAGAACTGAGAGACAGCATAGAGATGCAATCTGCAATGAAGAACAACAAGAGCAATCTGAAGTTCTTAGCAGGCAACAGGGAACTGACTATAATGATACACATATCAACCACCAAAGTTCCACTCAACCAACAACAGGATTGGCATACAAAGAGGTAAAGTAACATATGCAATGTAGAACAAGTGTTAAAAAAACCATAGGATCACATATGACTTATCCCTTCAGAAACCGGGCATATCACTGGAGAAGACAACCAGATTGAACAATACAGACATAGAGGAAATGCAATGTCTACCTGGAACCTATTGGAATTCATCATAGAACCATACAAAGAGAAAGTAGCTTGTGATCTCAAGTGCCACACCCAAAGGATCTGAAACCGAAGATCTGAGTATTTACCATCCTACAAGCACCCCTCTACATGTAGCTGTGTGGGGCACAATACATTACTGAGTTTTTATGGTCAACAGTATCCCTGAAATGATATCAAAGATGGCATGGACTTCTATTGTGGGTTCTCCATGATGTTACTCAAGCCATAGAGAACCCCAACTGATATCCTACCAGATGGACAATCATGGACAGATGCTTTCGGTATATTCCTTAGCTTGGCACAGCCAGCCGGTTTCGAGAATCCTGAGCAACTTTCAATTCCTACATGAAAGCCAAAGAAGATCAAACAAAAGCAATGATGCACCAGGAACAGATGCTGCAAGAGTAAATGAGGAAAAAGATACAGAAGAACTTCTAGAATCCACCTTACCCACTCATACTGAAGAATATGTCAACAAACTGACAGAAGAAGATATTATTACACTGCAGATGAGAGAAGGCTCTGACCAAGATAGAAAACATGCAGAGGAAGCCATTTTCATCACCAAAACAACCGGCATATTTGACAAGACATTTATGCAATGGCCTTGCAATCCCTGTGAAATCATGCCAGCTACCAATGACAAGACAAGAAATCTAAACAGCTGGCTGGAATGTTTAAACACTTGTTCCAAAGACTACACAGGGGCATTATCTACATCACAAGCATCTGATGCCTACCAAATGGTTCAGCACATGGAGGAACTACTAGAAAGAGAAATGGAAACATCCAACAATATAGAAAACATCACTGAAGACACCCTGAGTGCAGCAAAACTGGAAGAGTTGAAACCAGACCAAAGGAGAGTATATGATATTGTTAAAAGACACATAGAAGAGACATACTGAGGACATCAACCTAAACAACTTCTCATGGGTCTGTATGGAGAAGGAAGCAAAGGTAAATCAAGGGTAATACAGACAATAAGTCAAGTATTCAATTTGCCAACTGGCCAATGTGCCCTAGTAAAAGTGGCTTATACCAGAATAGCAGCTTCTCTCATAGACAGCCACACTCTCCATCACATATGCATGATTCCAGTAAAGGCCAAAAGCAATCACCATCTTTCCACAGACAAACTAGCCGAAATATGGAGGGAAGTCCATTATCTCATAATAGATGAAATTTCCATGGTTTCAAAGTCCTTCCTAGCAAGAATATCCTCTCACATAACCACTGCATGCATGGCAACTGACCCAAATGCGCCCATTGACTTACCATTGGGCAGGCTGAATGTTATCATTGCAGGAGACTTCCATCAATTTCCCCTGGTAGCATCAAAACAAAACTCCACATTGTTCATGCCCATCAATTTGGCATATGACTCACTAGAAGATAAGATAGGCCATCAAATATACAAGCATTTCTCTATGGTCATGATTCTCAAGGAACAATGCCAGATAGAAGATCCTATATGGATGTGCTTCCTGTGGAGAGCTTGAATGGGGAACTGCACAGAAGGAGACATTGAGATGCTGAACAGCTTGGACTTGAGCAAAAAACCTCAAGATCAAACACATGTCCAATGGGAGAACACAATCTTAGTAACACCATGACACAGCATTCAAAATTTATGGAACAAACATGCGATTTGAAGGATGTGCTGGGAGACAAAACAGCCAATAATGTATTCCTATGCTTAAGACAAAATAAAGGGAAAACCTCTCATGAAGCAACAATGGTATATAATGGCAACCAAGTGCAAAAACAGCAAACAAAAGGAAGGCAAAGGAGGACTCCCTGTGCAAGTGCTATTGTCCATCAGCATGGAGGTGATGGTAACCCTCAATGTCCAGACAGGAATCAATGTGGCAAACAGATCGAGAGGCATAATATATGCCATAAAAGCAAATCCCATGGAAGTACCATTTGATGGGAGATCAAGCAAGATCCACCTGAAATATCCACCAGCTTATGTGTTAGTAAAATTATACCAGACAAAAGCAGCAACCCTGCTGGGTCTACCAAACAGTGTAGTTCCAATCCTCCCCATGATGAAAACATTTCAAAGTACAAAGAACTTCGCAGGGTACAAACATTGTGTTATGAACCTGATATAAGTAGATCACCCAGTTGGAGAAGGGCAATGGAACTGGGTTGCAAAGCCCTAGATAACAACTCAGTCCTGGCACCTTGTGCACTGACAATGACATCATCCATGATACCCAAAAGCATAGACAACATGCCAGGAGAGACAGATGATGGAATGTGAGCTGAGAAATGGTGAATTGATGCTGATCAAATGGACAAGAGGATGCTAACCATGAGAATGCATCTCCACATCTGGTAAAGAGGGACCTGACAAAGAGGAAAGGTCTCCATGCTTAGGAGAAAAAGAATCTACAGGAGATTTCCTGGAGGTAGAAGCTGACAGTTTCACTCTTGCATCTGATAAAGAAGAGTAAGTATAAAAAAAGGGAAGCAATGGAGTGAATGACAGACCTCACTGAAGGGAGCAAGGGATGTTGCATGGCCTACACTGGTCACAACCATAACCTGACTTTTTACTATACTTGTGAGAACCCAAGCAGTACTGACATTGTGACAAAGGAACCAAGTCTTTTTTCTGACAAAGAAATTTCTTCACACAATGTTCACACTATGTTAGGAAACAGAGTGAGAAACCAGGATGTAGAAACAGAAGAATAAACAGATACTTGCCCATTGAACACCAAAAGGGGGGGGATCCATTAGATGCAATGACCTACAGACACAGTGGTGAATGATAAGAAACCTGCCCTCACAGGGAAAGAGATGTGCACTGACCGCAACTTCCTCCATGGAGAGGACATTAGTCCAATCCACCAAACCGTCTCCCATCACAAAACCAATCCTGGATATTAATCCACAGACAGAAGGCTTCTATGTGTCAGATAAGGAAAAGGGACAAAAGGAAGAAAGGGCATACAAAGTTTCATGGCAATGTGTCCAGTTGACTTACATGACCTGCAGACTGCCCTTTTCTCTTGGCAGGAGAAGGGGAATGGAAAGGGGTGGTCAAAGAATGCAAAAGAGGATGCTTGCCATTCTGAAGAGAATATTGTGTCTAAAAGAGTGTGAATGACAGCAAAAAAAATAGTAAAGGGGAAGCATACCTTGTGAACAGAAAGGACATCATGATCAGGATCAATAGGACCAGAAACAGTGATGGACTGATTCGATGAACTGGTACAAGAAGGTCCATTGAGCAGGATAGAAGATGACACTGGGCAAGGTAAATCCTGAAGAAGGGCTCAGTCAGGAAAAGCAGTAGGCTGAACATCAAATATAAGTGGGTAAAATGTCAAAGAACAAAGAAACTAACCTGGTGAGAAGCATCAGTGGATCCTTCTGACTGGAACCCACTGAAAGAAGGGACTTCAGATGTATCATATGAACTGGAAGAATGTATATGAGAGGACACCTGAAATTACACATCAACAAATGGAAATGAGTGCCAACAAAGAAGATGAAAGACCCACATTGAAATGTGACTGTCCATCCTCACATGAATGTGCAGCAAGAGATGAAACAGGGGCCATAACCATGGATGAAAGGGGTGCAAAGATGGTGTCAACAATAGAGGGGTTCAGAGCTAACATATTCCTAGATTAAACAATGAGAGTTCATATAAGACACAGAAGAACCTGGAGCAACATCACTTATGGAGTATGTCCATTTGGATAAAAAGGAACCAAATGGGAAACCTTGGGTGCATGGGAATCACTGGAGGCAGGAGGAGAGGGAGCGATTGATAAAGGGGCAAGACACAACAACTGATCAGAAGACAAAGAGCCAGAGATAGACTGCAGATTGAGATCTGACACAAGGCTCTCAGAAGAGCATGCCCAACTAGCCCTTGTCAATTCCATGGTCATACACCAATAATGACCCATGAGCTGGCAGAGACAAGGAGTCAGCTGATCGAACTGGGAGGGGTCAGCAGACACCACAATATTGAGAGCAGACTATAGAAGACAAAGATTTGAGTGAAGTTCCGGGTTCAGGAAGAAGATACACATACTCTGGAGGTTTCCAACATGCCTGGTAAAGAGAGGGATATGGTATGATCCCAAGAATCCTTGTTGGACAGATCCAACAATGCATGAAAGAGATTTTCAGCTTGAGTGATATCAGAGCTAAAATGATTGGAAGCAGACTGATTGGACAACATCTGAATATATAGCACTGATTAGAGAGCACAGAAAGGAAGAGCAAGAGGTCACCAATCTTCAACGATGGTCAGAGAGAAGAACTGGACACAATGACAAAAGGAAGGGGATAAGCGGAAGGAAAAGAGCACCACAGAAGGAGAAGATGAAAGAATATCTTATTAATTGCTGAGAAATCGAGAGAAAACAATGAGTATCCATGAAGTTACCATTGAAACAAGTTTCCAATGACTTACCATAACATATCTACTGTCAGTGTTTTGATCCCGAGTCGACCTGGGTAAGAACCCTACTCTCACGAGCTAGGGGACAAGGTTGATGTGTAACATCTTCACCTGACTTCGGTGATTAATATCCAACTCTCGGCTCGCAGATGCTGTGCGACTGTATTACAGGACATCTGTCTCTCTGACACTCAACTCTGTCGACGTCCACTGATCTGATGGTCAGCATATGCATAGGCTATCAAGGGCACGGGAGTCGCTCTTTGTACTCTTCTCCAGGTGTTCTTCTGTGCCTGAACATTTACCGCTCTCTTTCGTGATACGCACAGCATACGAGTTCTGCAGCTTGCAACCTCCGTTTTCCTACCAACGTTTCCTTGTTTTGTCCGGACGAGCGCTCTATGAAACCGGTGCAAGTCCCTCGTGCTCTATTCCGATGGTTTCGATGTTCCATGATGACCACTCAACCGCAAGGGACACGAGGCACGAGGCACGATACTCGCGTATGCGATTCATCGGCCGTTGCATGTATTCAACGCATCTTCCCGGTTCCTAAGCGTGGCGCTCTCTGCACACGGTACACTACATCGTTTTCTACGCGATGTTCCGGGTACTCCAACAGCGGGTACTACAACAGCGGGAATATAAGTACTGTTGCGTGAAAGCACTTTCCCCCGTGACCTGGTCATTAGATCATGCCGTCTCTGCTGCAACTGTCACTCCTCGCTTTGGGCGCTACAGCCGCCCTGCTGCCAAGGGACGACGGTACGCTTATAACTCTCTCGCAAGGCTCGGTCCAAGGCACTCTCGTCACGCCCATAGTGCGTCAATGGCTCGGGATCCCATACGCTGCTCCGCCTACGGGAAGTGGGAGGTTCCAACCCCCTCAGGCCGCTCCAGCCCTGAGCGGTACTCTCGACGCAACATCGTTTGGCAATTCATGCCCGGCGGTGTTCCCGATCGAGTACCTGGAACTTACGGGATTGCTCCAGCAGCAGGAGAGCGTGCCGTATGACGAGGACTGCTTGAATCTGAATATCTGGGCGCCGGCGACTAGCAGGCCCCAAGGCACGGCAGTCATGATCTGGGTGTATGGCGGTGGGGACATGTTCGGCACTGTGCGTGTTCCGCGTTCCCTGACACGACTGTCCTGGACTGTGGACTGTGGGGAGCTGACGAGAACTTACGTGTAGAGCAACACTCCTTTCTACAACGGAATCGAGTTTGTCCAGGCAAACGACGACATCATCATCGTATCCTTCAACTACCGGTCCGTCCCTTCCTTCCCTCCCTATCACAGCCAGACTAACCCTCCCCAGCGCCAACATCTTCGGCTTCCCTAACGCTCCCCAGCAGCTCGTAAACGTCGGCTTGCTAGATATGGACGCAGCGATCCAGTGGGTGTCTGCCAACATTGCCGCTTTCGGTGGCGACCCGGAAAGGATAACGATCTTCGGTCAATCGGCGGGTGCGCTCGCGGTGGATGCGTACGCGTACAGCCATCCGTCGGATACGATTGTCAAAGGTGTGTCTCTCTCTCAGGCTCTTGGGTTTGGGAGACTTGAGCTGAAGTGGGGAACTGGAAGGGATCATCGCTGAGTCTGGAACGGCCCAGCTGACGTCGGTGCTCAGCGCGGGGTCTGCAGTTCCTACAGCAGCGAACTCTTCCTGGAACACAGTGGCCACAGCCGTCAGCTGCGGAGGGGGTGAGTGCGCACTCTGAGCGCTTGAGCGGCTAATCAATTGAGAACAGCAAATGACGCTGCTCAGCTAAGCTGTATGCAGGCCGTGCCCTGGCAGACGCTGTTGAGCGCTGTCACGGCTTCTGCGAAATCCTTCACTCCTTACCCTGATGGTGCGTCCCCCCCCCCACACCCCCCCTCCTCCCCTCCCCCTCGCCCGGCTAACCCATCACAGGGCAGACGATCTTCTCCGACGTCTCGTCCCGTTCCTCCAAAGGCCAGTTCCTCAAAGTCCCCCTCCTAATGGGCACGACCGCAAACGAAGGCGACATCTTCGTTCTCGCATACGAAGAATCCTCTTTCGGGGGGTCCATCCCCGTACTGGGCACAGTCCTCTCAGACGCATTTACCGAGCTGGTATTCACTTGCCCCGCATCAAAGTCCACGAATGATAGGGCTGCGCATGGAGTGAGCACGTGGAGGTATAGGTACGAAGGGGTGTACCCGGATTTGACGGATGAGAACCCTGCGCTGAGGGCGTATCATGCGAGCGAGATCGGACTTGTTTTCGGGACGTATAACGTGTCTACTCTGTTTCCTCCTACTGCGTACGTCCCCCGCTCCTCCCGTTATCGTCAGTCTGGCTAACAAGAGTTGTTGGGGTAAAGAGGTGAGATAGCCCTCTCGGCGTATATGCAATCCGCATGGGCATCCTTCGCCCGCTCTCCTAGCACAGGTCCCGGATGGGCCAAGTACAGCACCGCCCTTCTCACCTCAACGATTGCCGAACTAGGGAACAACAAGAATCCCGGCGGGGCGACGCTTGCCCCACCCTTGGAGTTTGACGTGGGGTGCGGGGTGGTGAACGTGTTGGAACCGTATGTCTTGCAGTTGTTGAGCATATTTGGAGTGGGTGGGGGGCTGTTGTAGGGGGATGGATACACTCCCACATTCCTTACTGGACACTAGTACTGCACCTGACTGATAATACTGTACACACTCTTTTACTTGGATGCGTGTGTATCACGTGACTACGCGTCGCGTCCCGGGAACAAAACGCGGTTTTGTAGGGCAATCGTGCCTGTAGACTAGAGTGATTGATTAGTACTGTTCTGTTGCGGGCCGAACTGTTCTTTCGAAGTTGACTCTGATTGGCGTGATTTGACTTTTTTGACTTGTCTCACTTTGGATTGCTTGGTGACGTGCTTGACTGCTGTTCCGTACTGCCGACACTTGCTGTGTGATGGCGTACTATCACTCACAGACGTCACCCAATCAGTCACAGTCTCAGTACACTCAGAGTGGGATATACACACCTACACAGTCACATGAGTATTATCCGACACAGGACTATGATTACTATGACACCAATACTTTGAACGCTTCTACTTCGAATCATTCCATATCTTCACAACAACAACAACAGTATTATCAACCGAATTATCAACCTCCATCTCCTTATCCTTACGCCCCTTACCCTCAACAGCCCCACCAACAACCCCCTCAACCTCAACCTCAACCCTACCAACCACCCAATCTAGAACATCAACGTTCTTTCTCCCAACCTGGAATGTCATCTCAGGAATACGCACCGCCCCCGTCATTGGCTCATGTCTTCTCGGGACAGTATGCCTTGCCTGCTCATTTACAACAACCGCCGTCACACCAACCTCATCCTCAACCGCAACCGCGACCTCATCCTCAACAACCCCAACCACCCCAACCTCAGCAGCAACAGACTCAGGGCTACTCCCTCGTCCCATTCCACCCCCAGCCTACCCAGGCACAGCCCACCTCCCCACGTCGTCCACTCCCTCAACCCACCCCAGCCCCTCAAGCTCAAGCACAGGCTCCCTGGCCATGCGCGCAATATCCCGCGCCTGTGCCTGTGTCGCTCTATCCTTCCACTCCTGCTCCTGCTGCTGCTCCTACGTTCGCCCACCCCCAACAGGTACAACAAGTACCGCCACCGCCGCAGATCGCTTCGCCTACTGCGAGCTACCCGAGGGGGTATCAGGGGATCTTGACTGGGAGCAGGAGCTTGCCTCTTGGAGGAGAGGGCGAGAGGGAGAGGGAACGTGATCGTAACGCAGTTCGAGAGAGAGATCGGGATGGGAGAGACATAGATCGGGATGGGTGGGAGAGAGATAGGCAAGAGAGGGACAGAGGGGGACACAAAGGAGTAAGAGCGAGCGAGAGCGTCCCCTCCCCCGGTCGGTGGGGCACCTCCCAGTCAGAGCGGACGTACACGGAGCGTCATCCATCAGACGACCGCGCAGGCGCAGAAGCAGAAACAGAAACAGATGCAGAAGCAGAAGGAGATGCGGGGCTAGCCGCCCTCTGGGCATCTGCGGACTCCCCCCCCCCCCCCCCCCCCCCCCCACCC